ATAGTATACAAAGCTATAAAATGTCTAGTTCCCAAATATTTTCTGCCTGGTTTTATGGCAAATATGCACTTTATGCAAAGCAGAAAAATGTGAATCATCAAATGCTTAAGATTTGACAGATTTTACTAGCTTCAAGTGCAACATCCCAGAGCTTTAATTTGGGTAGACAGCACAGGTGCATGTTATGAAAGAGTAGCAGTAATAAAGTTTTAAGCACAAACACCAAATGGTAGTTTAATTTATTTCTATATCATCATCATCATTAATCAAGGGCTTTGTTCTATAAGTCACAGCTGTTCGTGGACCGCCTCTGTAATTCCACTCATATTCCATTACTGGCTGATAAAGCACACCTAGCTCTGGTGAAAGGGTCCTTACCTGGGTAAGGCACAGAAAGCAAAGTGAAGTCTGCATAGCGTTGGGCCTTGTCTACCTTCTCTGATGATGTCACACTGCAGGGACACAAGGAACCCAAATGAGATGCATTATAAGCAGTCACCCAGAAACATGAAATAAACCCTTTAATTAAAAGCTGTTTTAATGTGATAAACTAGCAGTGCAGCTTCTGACCTTTCTAAAGCCGACAATATTGTTTAAAATTAAAGCTTATTAATGTTGCAAAATATACATTTAAAAAAAAGCAGGTTAAGTCTCCCTTGCAATTAAATGCATTTGCACAAACTTTTCATTCAAGAACCATAAAATTGTTCATATTTGCACAAATGACAAAAATAAAAAAAATCCGTGTCAGAGCAGCACTCAGGGGAAAACTGGAACTTAATTACTCCACTTCATTGAAGTGTTCCTGTTATTCGTAGTGTATTAGTTCTTGCTGATACTGCTGCGTCACACTTCAACTGTTTCCTGGCCCTCTACCTTTTTTTCTTAAACTTGCACTTTCCTGACCTTTGACCTGCCTTGTCACCATGTATCTTCAATCAAAAATCTGTCCCTCAGCCATTCCAGACCTTATAATACACTGAATGATGCAGCAGTGATTGCGGTGCTCTAGACATAGCTGTTTATAGTAAACTGAAAAGAAAAGCTTCGCCATAATCCCATCACACTGCACACACCCAGCTGTTAACGACAAAACTGACAAAAATCTGACGCTAAACTGAGAAGCCTCATCAGAAGCCTCCCTCTAACCCCTCTTCTTCTAGGAAACTGACCTAAATGGCACAGAGTGAATGAACCAGTACAGTCTGTTCCTTACTTGAGGCCAAACTTAACCTTCTTGTTCTCCACCATTAAGTCGCAGATGTAGCGAACTGACAGGTAACGCAGCAGCTTAATGTCATAACCTCGAACCTTATCGAAGAGATGGGAGTCACCGTTCCTGACGAGGAGAAAAGTGAAGAGATGCAGAGGAATGTTAAAAAAAAA